AACAAAAACAAACAAAACTAACTTTCAGAGAGTTGGAGCTGTTGTTCTCCCTGGAATCTTTATTCTGCTTGGGTGGGTTCAGAACTGATGCCTCAAGGGGGAAACAAAAAAAAAGAGTTTTCTACCTGGATTTGCAAAGCTATTCATTGAACAATTAGAATGGTGAGAACGCAAAGGAACATCTGTGAGCACTCCCTTCTCAGAGTTTCACGTCTCTTGTTTACTAACAAAGACTTGTTACCAATGCCTGACATTCAAGAGGACTTGTATTTGCTTGTTTAACTGGGAGCTAGCTCCCAGACTCACCCTGTAGCCCGCTGGGGGTAGGGCAGAAACCTCTGGGAAAACAATCCCCAGTCTACCGAGATGATTTTCGATGGCCTGCTGGAGTCGTAGGTGACTTTAGGTGACAACCATTCAGACATTTGGTCAAATACACGATAGATCAGCGGTTCTCTTGGCTGCATTAACAGTTTGGGAAGAAAAACAGCTAAGCCCTCTGCTTATACTGTAGAAGACAGGAGATTTCTAAAGATTATCGCTCCCTATCCAGCTGTTGCTATTAAAAAACAAATTGATGAGTATCTCTCCAGTTGACAGGCGGGGCAGGAGGTTGCCAGGGTTACCAAATACTGAGCTTGGAAAGGGCTGTTTGGGGGTAACAGAATGAGCCCATGAAACAACTCTTTGAAAACTATTCTGACTTTAAAGTCACCCAGTTTACAGTCCACAGATCCTAGGCAACCCCTAACGCCTTGCAAATGTCTCAGTATAGAGCTTCAGTATAGAAATTCTTCAATCACATGCCCCATTGGGCTCCGAGAAGCATGCCTCGGTGCTGATGTCCGAGGTGGCCATTCAAGGTTCTGAACTCAGCCTCTCCTCTTCATCCACCCTCTGCTCCGGCTGTCATATCTGGCTGCAGGATTGTGGAAATCACATTTGACCAGAAGACTTCCACACCTACTTCTCTAACCCTATTTCAAGAATTCCCAGTCCCAAATTTCTCACTTTTGCTGCGTATCCCCATGTACACAAATTGCAGGTTACCTCAGACTCTTTTTTAAAAAGATTTTATTTATTTATCTGACAGAGAGAGAGAGGGAAAGCACAGCAGGAGAGGGAGAGGGAGAAGTAGGCTCCCTGCTGAGCAGAGAGCCCAACATGGGACTCTGATCCCAGGACCCTGAGATCATGACCTGAGCCGAAGGTAAATGCTTAACCCACTGAGCCCCCCAGGTGCTCCTCTCAAACTCTTTATGTATAAAACTGAACTCCTGATAGTTTTACAAACCTTATGCTTCACCTATCATCAAAGAGACTTCTCTCCTTCCAGACTCTTCTCTTAAATCTTGCATCATCTTTCCAACTCCTTCTTTCTTAACCCTTCGATCCGATGAGTTTCAAAGTCCAGCCAATGTCTTTGGCTTTTTTTTTTTTTTAAGATTTTATTTTTAATTAATCTCTACACCCCACATGAGGCTCGAACAACCCTGAGATCAAGAGTCACATGCTTTCCTGACTGAACCAGCCAGGTTCTTGTCCCCACTCCACGTCTTTGGAGTCTAACCCTCTTGTATGCCCACGCCCACCGCTTTGGTTTAGGGTCTCTCGTCCCCCGTCTCCTGCCTTAGCATTCCAGCACCGTGGGGACCTTGTCACCATCTTGCTTCTACTTTTCCTCATCTGCTGCTATCAGAGCACTGTCCCCAGTATTCAGTTTCAAAGAAAACCACTGTCATCCTCAAAACCTCTCTTGACTTCTCATGGCCTACACAGTGCAGTCCAGATTCCTGAGCACGGCGTTCATAGTCAAGTCACAGCCTTACTTACTCTCTACATAAGTCCTATGCACTAGCCCAGTGTTTTTCAACTCCTTCTTCATTATGGTGGTCCCAATATCACCCTGATGTAGAATGCCCATTCTAGCCAAAACAGCTCATTTGCCAATCCCTGGACAAGCCCCTATATTTTCCAGCTCCCCAAATTTTGCTCACTTTGGTCATTTGTCAGAGTAGTTGAGGGATTATGAACAGATTCCTGGAGTATACTTCTGCTATTCAGTGCACTGTTTTCCTGGCCTAGATGAGACTCACATCTCTTTACACTGTCTTTCATGTCTTCCTGTTGAAATCTGGGCCTTCATGTTACTACCCAAATACCATGTCCTCTCCCTCATCCACTCAGCTGGAACGAACTTCTTTCTGTCCTCTACGAGAATTGTCTTGATACATTTATTATGTTTGTCTTTGTCCTTAGTCCTTTTTCTAACTGTGTCATCTCCCCCACTGTATTATAAACTTCCCAAAGACAAGGAGAATCTTCTTCGCAGTGTACAGTGCCCTCGAAAGGCGGCACCAGTACATGGAAGTTGAAATCAATTCACTGATACACACCAGGAACAGGATAAAAGCCTACCAGTGCCCACATGAAGAAATCCCATATGTATGTGGAAGAAATAAACACATTACCGAGTAGAAAAAATGGAGATCATATATAAGCCACACTCCTAATCCACCATCATTTACACAGACTATTTTAGAAGACGTTCTGTGTGTTGTACAGCGTTAGTGAACCCAGCTAGTTCCTGCTTCAGAGAAGTAACAAACAGCCACCCACGGAAAGTTACTATTTGAATGGGGACCTGCCCAGACATGTCTTAAGTAACAATGATCAAAGTGAGGAGAGGACCCAGAGGCCAAGACGTAAATAGTCATTTTTGACATTACGCTTTTGTTACAGATACAAAATCTTCATTGGGTCCATTTGCCATGAAAAGAGACAATACCTGTGGAAGTACACTTTAAATGTTAGTGGTGCTCACCACGGTGTAAGGAGCAACTAAAGGCACGCTCTGGGCAGGCAAATTGATCTGACAAAATTAGTTTTTTTGTTTGTTTGTTTTTGTTTTGTTTTTTTAAAGATTTTATTTATTTGACAGAGAGAGATCACAAGTAGGCAGAGAGGCAAGCAGAGAGAGAGAGAGAGAGGGAGGGAGGGAGGAGGAAGCAGGCTCCCTGCCTAGCAGAGAGCCCGATGCAGGACTCGATCCCAGGACCCTGAGATCATGACCTGAGCTGAAGGCTGAGGCTTAACCCACTGAGCCACCCAGGCAGCCCACAAAATTAGTTTTGTGCCAAAAGTTAAGACGAAAGAAACACGTTTTCTGCCAAAGGCTTGATGCTGAAAGAGGAACTTCAACGGTCTCCATTCTCTAGTGTCCCGTACTTTCTGACTAAGTCCAGTTTATCTCTTAACTCAGGTGAAAGACCCTGAGAGCAAAGCCTCCCCTGGTGGGGCCTGAACTACCCTCTACAGCAGGGAGGAGCCAGCTCTGAGCCAGCAAGACCCCACATGACTGACCCCAAGACCGTGACCCACCTGACCTTGACGGCCCACCGCATTCCCCACTGATCTTTCTTCCACAGTTTTTCTTATCTAAACCTGTGAGTATTTTCAGTACTACGGAGGCAGCCTTTGAGATGCTAGTGCACTGTCTTCCCAGTGTTGGCCTCACCAGAATAAGTCCCTTTTTGTTTCACCACCACTCATTTCTCTGCCTTTTGAATTTGTTAGTGGCCAGTGGCCAAATCTGGGCTGTCTGGGACCTCTGGAGCCAGGCATTCCTGCACCCCTGTGCTCCCACGACGACACTTTCTAAAAAGTATATACATAAGAAGAATACATTCAGAAACTTCCATCCTGAAGTTGAGAGGCAACGTGGGGGGTTTGAGGGGTAGGAAAGGAATAAATGAAACAAGATGGGATGGGGAAGGAGACAAATCATGAGACTCTTAATCTCACAAAACAAACAGGGTTGCGGGGTGGGGGGGCACGGGAGGGGGGCTAGGGAGAGGGTTATGGACATTGGGGAAGTTATGTGCTATGGTGAGTGCTGTGAAGTGTGTAAACCTGGAGAATCACAGATCTGTACCCCTGGGGCTAATAATACATTATATGTTAATAAAAAAATAAAAAATTATTTTTTAAAATGGAGATAAAAAAAAAGAAACTTCCATCCTATCTCTGAAAAATACTTTCTAGGAAAGCTATTTCTGTGGTTTCAAAGGATTACATTTTCTTTAGTCAGAGGATTAGGTGTTTGAAAGTGGCACTTGAGTGACATTTCTGAAATTATTAAGAAGATTATCAAATCTTAGAGAAAACTATAAACAGGTGATTTTCATCATCCCTTGCCGCGGGGCTGTCTTCTAAGATACCATTAACCATCTTGTGGTTTTTAAAAGTTTTGGTTTTCTTTTGTTTCGTTTCGTTTTGTTTCCCCCTCCTAAAGCTCGATAATGACTTCTGCAGGAGGATGAGTTGGGGATGTCTGCGGGATGGGAGGCTTGGCGAAGAACTCATTTCCAGGGATGCACTCGATTTAGCCCCTGTTCCTGGTTCAGATCTGTCTCCTCTCCATATGGTTCAGCCCTTCTGGGTCTTTCAAACGGGACTTTTGTACCAGATCTGAAGGTCCCACTCCAACTCTCCTTCCCTGAGCTCTTTACTGAAAAGGAGGATTAGCTGTGGATCTCATTCCTTCTCACTCCTTCTGCTAGTCCAGCTGGAGTTCTGAGAGCAAACACCAACGGCCAAAGCAAACACTACTTTGGCGCCAACCCTTAAGCTCGGGCCTCTTTTCCGTGCCCAAAGAGGCAGGATTGTTACTTTAACAAGTGTGGTAGGCGGTGGAGGGACAGGGGGAGGAGAGCCGCCCAAGGGCCCTCCCTTTGGAATGGGATTGGTTCCCTCTGCCGGCGCCGGCGATCGCTCTGCGTCTCGGTTGGAGAGGCTGACACAACCCTGTCATTAAGGTGTTGTCGAAATGGGCCCCGTAGGTGTGGGCCGTTCCGGAAGTTTGTGGTTGTAGATTTTCAAAGGGGCGGACTTTTTACTGGCTCCGGGACCAAGTTCCTGAAACTGGTCTTCTCCGCCTTGAAAAATGTCTTGGTAACAGGCGAGGCGCCAAGGAGCTTCTTTTACACGCAGTAGAGAACATGACGGAAGCTCCTCAGGGGTTTGATTTCAGTTTCTTAAATGACGAGGAGGCCAGGAAGATCCTCCAGGTGCTGGAAAGAAATGAGGAGCTCCAGAGGGCAGAGAAGGACAGGATCAGGTAGAGAACGAGTTCCTTTGTCTTCTGCAGGGGCCCGGCGCGCGCGGGGACCCCCTACCCGAACCCCCGGGGCGCGCGCGGGCCCCCCCACACCCGACCCCCTGGAGCGCGCGGGGCTCCCCTACTGGACCTCGTGGCGCGCGCGGAGCCCTCGCGGCGCACCTGTCGCGGCCCCGGTACGCGCAGCATCCGCGGGGGAAAGCTGCGCTCGGCGGCTCTCTGACGGGCGGTGGGGAGCCCGGCTGTGCTCTGCCCACGCGCGGCATCCCCGACCCGCCAGCCTGCCGGGCGCTGCGGAGCGACCCTGCCCTCGCCGTGCTGGCAGGTTTTCCGGAGCGTTTCTCCCGGAATGGGTCCCCCGAAGCTGAGGCGCCCCGGGCGGGACACGCACGTGGGCTGCGGTCGGCCGCTGGGTCCCGACTGTCCGGGCAGCCGACGACGCAGTGCCGCGCGCTCAGGTGCCCCCGGGCGGGCGCGGAGGCCGGGTGGGCGGGTGAAATGGGGCGGAATCCCGGCCCGAGCGCACCCACGTGCTTCTTTGCCCAGGTCCTCCCCGCAGTCCGCCCTCGCCCCGACACTCGTCCGCGACCCCAGAGCCGCCTGTCTCCACCCCGCGCCCACCGTCCGCGGCGCCCGGGTGAGGCGGCATCTCCCTGGCGGCGAAGGGCTCCCACCCTGAAGGCCCCGTTCCAGGAACTGGCCGTGCTGCGGGGCGAGCCGGCCTCGCACTGGGGCGCGCGGAGCGGCTGGAATGGGCGGGTCTCCTTGCGCGTGGCGCTCCGGGGGAGAAGTTGCTGCGAAATTTCACCCTTGATCTTGCCATACAGTGTTACGGGTGGGGGTTAGATACCTGAGAACGATATCGACCGGTAATTGCCTGGGATGTAAATTAACCAGTTTTTCTGGTGGGAAAGTGTGGTCCTGGAGTGAATAGAACGACTTGCTCACCAATTCTAGAACAGACCTCCTCAAGGCTTTCTCCAGGTGCCTGTGGAAGGTGTTTCTGGGCATCACTCTCAGACCAAAAATACATCCTTGACTCGAATTTAGAAAGCCATTTTGTTTGCGAGCAGCTTCTTGGTGATGTCGCTTCTAGGTTTCCACCTCTTTCCAAAGATTGCACTGGCCAACCCCTCTCGCCCCCCCCCCAAAAAAAAAAACACCCTCCAAAGATACTCTTCACATAGGAAAACCCTCGTTGGTCTTTGTAGAAGCCGTTAGAATTCACTGGGCTCAAAGCCTGGTCTTCACTCCTCTCAGCAGTTACAGCTCCTGTGGGGAGTAACGAGTATTGGAAGGGTGAGGATGTGTATTTCATGCCATCATACTCTGCTTTTAGAAAAATAGGCTCCACCATTTCCTCACTGTGTGGGCACATTGTGTTCACACCCACATGCATCCACATGTGTGGACCCACACATATGCACGTGTCCTACACACAGGCACACCCAGCCTCAGGAAGGAGAACTTTAGAATTGTATGCAGTTTGTTTTCAACACATTTCCCAAAAGGACTAAGGAACTGGTGACTCTCGGTGTGTGTGTCCTTGGAGGCTTCATACGTGATCCAGTATGTATTCTTGGGGAAATTGATGGGAGAATTAGGAAATGACAGGGGGAAGCTTCCACTTAGGATGTTACTATCAACGTGCTTTTCATGAACTATGGTCTTAGAAATAGTGAGATTATTTGGTTTAATTTTCACTCAAGGGAATTTTGATTTTTTGTATCTGGACTGCTGCTTGCTCTGTTGTGTTTCCCCAATAGCAGCTCATGGTGCTCAGGACAGCTGCCCTTAGGGGGACCTGGAACTACACACAGGGGGCAAAGCCATTGGGTTGGCCCTCAGGAGGAAGGTTGAAACACCCTTTCTGATAGAGTGGCACTGATATCAGAACTGGGGCATGCACAGAAGAAGGCATAATGCTAAGACAAAATCAATACTGCTAACGATTAAACTGTTACAATAATTACCCCCAATAATTTCAAAAATGTCGCCATTAATATAAAAAAGTAATTGAAGGACAGCAGACACTTGGGCCAAATGCTGAAGACAGTTATTTCTAGTACTTTACTTCCCCCTGGTTAATTCCCGAATCCCACAGTCAGACACCCATCACTGGATAGCCCTCTCCTGGGCGTTGTTCTGCTTAAGTACCAGCTCACGTGCATGGGTTTCAGTAGCAGATGCGGACATGTGAAAAAGGCCTGAGTTAACATGTCAACTTGGCTGCCTCCGCTCATTTTCTTGATATGTATGATCATATTTTCCAAATAAAAAGTCAGAACACGTGACTTCTCATACAAGAGTATTACTTAGGACACTGTACCACAGACCCATGTGAGAGACTGGGAGGGCTTTGTGCTCTGCAGATTTTCCCCGTTATCCAAAAATAAAGCATTTCCTAAGAAAGCTTCACAAGCCCACACAGCATAAAGGAAAGAAGCAATTACCAAGAGTTCATATGGAAAATTTTTTGAGCATTCCCAGACACCAAAAATAACGTCTTTTAGGCTTTTCTGAAACCGTAGGATGCATCTTTGTTAAAGGATGCACGAAATAAGGAGGTAAAGCACAGATGTTCGTTCACACAATTCAGAACTGTGGCAGCTTGGGGGCGCCTGAGCCGTTCAGTGGCTGGAGCCTCTGACTCCGGATTGATTTCAGCTCTGGTCCTGATCTCAGGTGGTCAAATCGAGCCCCTTGTAGGGCTCCACGCTCAGCATGGAGTCTGGTTGAGATTTTCTCTCTCCCTCTGCCCCTTCCCACTCTTGATAAATAAAATCTCTTTAAAAAGTTAAAAAAAAAAAAAACCACTTTAAAAAAAAAAAAGGCATTGCAGCTTTGGTGCTGAGATGCTGAGTGTGGCTCCTTCGAGAAGGAGCTGGGCAGTATGCCATTCTGGCTGCTTGGGCTGTGGGCTGCCTCCCTCACAAATGTAGGCTAGACTTTAGGTTGGCTTTTTAACTTTTTCCATAAAAGTAAAAATGCTCTTTGGATTCCATTTGGCCAAAACAGGAACTAGTGTAGGTCTTTCTTAAAGTAAAGTGGTCTAACGCAAACTTTGGAAAATGGGGTGGGCAGAGAGGGTACTTGCAATGAGAAACAATAGCCAGATAACTTGGCTAGGACATTAAGGGACCAAATGGAGAAGTTTGGAAAGTTTGCTAGTTGGGGGACGACTGAGGAGTTTAATTATGTCTATGATAGGCTTGAAATGTCTACAAGACAACTAAGAACGATCCTTTAGTTAGAAACCTTGAACTACAGTGTCATGCGGGACTGGAGATGCCTAGAGATTGATGTGGGAGTAGTTGAGTTCCCCACACAAGACCTAACAGCCCCACCCGTAGAAATGCTCATCAACGCACAGATCTAGCCCTGGTCTTCCCGCATCAGTACCAGCCCTCTCTGGAAAGTATTTGCATTAAATATTATGTTCCTGATACACAAAGAATTTATTCAAATATTGAAGAAAAACACCAAGATTCAAACTGATAAACAGGCACAAAGTAGAAATAAGGTGTTCATGTTAGAAGATATCCCAACAGGAAACAAAATGTTATGAGAAAATGTTCACCTTTGCAGTAATGAAGAAGTGAAAATTGAAGTATTTAAAAATAACAGAATAAAAACTGCTGGTGAGGATGGCCGTGAAGTGGATAGATTCATCATGCTGTTAGTGGTGTGTGGTTCTTTTGGTGAACAATATGGCGCTGCTTATGAACATATGCCTTACCCTTGACCCAGTCTCCGATTCTTGGATATTTCTCGTTAGTAGGAGTCTGAGGTACCAGCATTTATTAAGTGCTGCCTTCTTATGTAATAATAGTAATTACTGTGATAATGACTGCTAACTTTTATTGATCCCCTACTGTGTACTCGGCATTGTACTAAACATGTCATATGTATTTAATTAATTGTCCCAAGAACCTCATTACATACATATTTGAATTTCCATTTCACAGAGAGGGAAACAGCTTAACAGAAGTTGAGTATCTTGTCCCAGTTAAGCAGGAGAGCCAGAATTTAAATCCCCATCTATCTCAAAATGATTTTACCCATTAGCATTAGGTAATCCTCACCACTGTCACTTGGGATAAGTAGCACTGATGGCTTTGTATGGAAGGGAAACCCAAGTGTCTTGAGGTGAAGGAACTTGCCCAAGGTCATATAGATCCTAACCGACAGAGCTAGAATTTGAACCCAAATCTATCTGGCTCTAAAATATATATTCTTTCCGCTATACTGTATACAGTATATTTTTTTCCCTGTGGAAAAAAAAGAACATATACCCACAGATATTCATTGCAGTATTACAAAATAGCAAAATAGTGGGAAAATAATAGCAAAATAGTGCCAAGTTTCAAATCTAAATATCCGATTAAAGCACAGCCATTTATAATGGACAGTTATGGAGATAATTGTATCTTACCCAGATAAAATTTAAATTTTAACATTTTCTGGCTACCTTGTTGTCAAGGCTGTATAGACACCTCAAGCTTATCACAAATACAACTGTGGGAAAATGATGCATGGGAGGCATTGTTCTGGGAAAAAGCCGAACACAAAATACCACATGTGTGTTACTGCTGTGTCTTGAAAATAGGCAAAATAGGCAACAACAACAAAAAAAGGGCAAAAATCTATGATGCTTCTTTTGGTGAATCTCTAGGACCCGGCACAGCTCCTGGCGCATGGCGAACAGGCCGTGGAGGTTTGCTGCTTGTCTTCCCGGGAGCCTAACACTGCCAGGACGGGGAAGGGACCCGTGGTCGGCTGGGCAGGAATGCTGGGCACCTCCCAAGCTCCCAAGGTTCTAGGAAGGCAGATGAGGGCAAGGGTAGTGGATTTCCTGGCTTAGCGACAGAGACACCATGGACAGGCAAGGTTCCTGCCTGTAATTGGCCTCTGGAGAAAACCCGATGGGGGGTTTCATGACCTGCACAGGCCAGACTCAGAGGCTTTTGCAGTCCTAGCTTCTCTCCTCACTTCTCACT